ATATATATATATTTATTTATTTAGTTTTCTCAGTTTTTATTTTTTAAATTCGAAACCACACCAAAAAATCAAATAAAACAATTTAATAATCCAAACTAATCCAAAAAAACAAAAAATCAATCCGAATAAAAATTTAATTTAATTTGATTTTAATTATTCGATTTAATCTGAATAATGCCTAATTGAAAATACTTCGGATGCTCATTGTTGTTCAAAATGATTTTGAAAATGAGAATTTAAGGAGTAAAAGAACAATAAAAAATTATGGATTTTACATGTCTTATTGATATTGATTTTATATATTTCCTTATGCAATTTTTTCTCTCGGTACGCCTATTAGGAAAGAAATCATAAAAGCTAAAACAAGTTATATTCTATAAAATAATATTTAAGATTTGTTGGTTTACCCGAAAGACTAAATTTATTAGTTGTAAATAATTATTTTTTAGAAGGAAGCATATAACTTTGATAGTTCCACTGATAAATATAAACCTAGATTCATTATTAAGAGTTTACCTAGAAATATTAGCTATCATATGTATTATAGAGTCAGTATATTTTTTATTTTTCATTTGATATTCGATTAAATTTAAATTTATATCAAAAAATTTCACAAATAAAATATTTTCTAATAAAATCAAAACCATTATTATCTAATACTCGCAATAGTGCAGACACATCTGAGATAAGGATGCATATTATTATTATTTAAAACAATATTAATTATTCCGACAATTTTGCAAAGAAATCTATTATGTTAAATGCATGACTACGTTGTGTCGAAAACCAATGAGAAAGTCATAAAGTATTGCAAATTAAGATAGTTATGTCCATAAAATAAGCATGCAAAAAAATGAAAATATATTTTTTTTAAAAAATTCACCAACTATCTTCAATTTTTTCTATACAAAAATTAAAATGTGATAAATTCATTGCCGAAAAAAGAAAGTACAATATATACTGATGTTTCCTTCGATTTTTTTCAAAAAAAAATTCCATTTCTATATATATATAGTTGATTCGTAATACGTTTTCTATTTAATATAATATTAAATCATGATTTTATCAAATCAGACCACACACCAATAATTTAATTTCAGTTGGATTTAATTTTTTAGTTTTTATCGTAATTAACAACTGCTACGTGGATTTTTATTTTATTTTTCTCAAGGGTTTGGATAGAAATATATATAAACAAGTTTTTCGATATTATATATATAGAGAAAATTTCACAGACAGAAATCAAAACCCAAAAACACTTTCTCTCTCTTCACTGTTCGGAGGCCGCAATCTCTCTCGTCTCCTCCGACCCACCTGCCGATTACCGGTAAGAACCCTTCTTCTTGCCGGTTGGCTTACTCTACCAATTTCGGCTTTTTAAAACTTTTTTTGATTGACTAATTTGTGAGTAATTGTCTATTTTTTTGCCATGTTTTATTCTTTTTTCTTTTAAATCTTGCTTTATGTGTATATTCACTTCAGAATTGTTACTTGATTGTGATGATATTAATGTTCTTTTGATTCCCTAGATTTAGGGTTAGGTAAATGGGTTGTCTACCGCCGTTAAGATCGCCTTACTTACTGGGTT